GCCGCCGGTTGCGGCTTCGCATGATGATAGTATGGTGGAGCAGTGTCCGCTGCCGTTGCTGGCGGGGACGCCTTCGATGTAGTAGGTGGCTCCAGTGTTAAAGGTACTGGTGTAAGCATATTTGGTTTAGGTGGTGGTATTCGGTGTGGTAGTGCAGTTGTCTCGTATGAGTGGTCGGTGTGGTGCTTAGGTAGTTTCTCCGGGCAGAAGTCGATGTGCAGGAGGATGCGGTTTGGTGGTGTAGGTTGTATGTGCCACGTCCAGCGCATGCGAAGCATGTTTCGATGCTCGTAGTCCGTTAGTTATGATTTTTTTCGCTCTTCCAGCTCGTGCTGCATCCATTCGCAGTGCGAATGGCCGTAATTCATGTTCGTGTCGATCCCTTTGATTTTCCTTGGTGGCTTGTAGTTGAATGTCTCGCTCATGGGGTGCGGCATGTGCAAGATGATTGTGTGTTGGATGGTGCGGGCTGGCGGGATGACTGGGGCCATGGAGTGCAGTGGGCAGATGGCAGTGCCTGGCGTTGTTGAAAATTCCCCTTCTCGTCATGGGCCACTGAGGATTTGCTGGCGTCGGTGCTAGTAGCTCGTGATGGGTCGGGCGCATGTTGGGGTGCGCTGGTGGTGGTAGTATCCGTACTGTGCCTGTCCACCGGTTGAGCTGTGTAATAATGCAGTCTGGTGCCGGTACAAACTCCGCGTAGTTTGGTTGTTTTCGTCGTGTCGGTGGTGTGATGTGCCTGTGAGTCCTGTCGGTAATTGCAATGGCCCACGGTGGGTGCAGTGTTGCTGCTTTGGAGGTGTGCCGAGCGTCCGCTGGTAGGCTTGCGAGTGAAAGTTATTCTGAACCAGCGGCCATGTTGTTACTAGCGCCGGCCATCGTGCATGTACAGATGTTGTCGTCTTCATCTCCGCGTCTTGAATGTATTCCACTGGTCGATTGCAACATCGTATCGCTTGGTGATTTATTGATTGTCGCTTTTGTGCAGGGTCTCCTTCAGGTCCTTCTCCGTGCCGTCACGGTCGTAGCGCTGGTGCTTGAGTCGTGCCGTTATGTTGCCGATGTGTAATGTACCGTAATGTAATGTGATGGTGGCAGTTTGCCAAAGTGTTGAGGGTTGGTCCCTAAGCAAGTATGGTGGACAACGCTGTGTCGTAGTGCTGTGCTGTTGTCGTGTGCTGTGCTGCTGTGTGTTGGTTGACTGTGCTTGCTCTGAGAGAGTCGGTCCTGCATCGGACAATGGTCGTAGGTGCAGTAGTCGGGTGCTGCGTCGTGGTAGTTTCTGTAGTCGGAGTTCTGCGCTGCTTGGTTGGTCATTCCGTTGTTGTGCTGCCGTTCGGGCCCATCATACATCATTTAACAGTGATCGGTTCAAAGTGAAATTACACCAGAGGAAGCCCCAATCAGTGGATTAGTTGCAGCTTCGTATTATGGATTGTGAGATCGATTGTGAGATCGATAGTAATATCGACCGTGGGGTCGATAGCGAGGACGATAGTGAGGTCGATCGTGGGACCGATCGTGATGTGGATTCAGTGAGATAGATCGTTAACTCGGTTTCCGCAGTCGGCCGCCCTGCTCCTAGGCGCACTCGAGACGGCTACCCAAAAGGACCTCTCCGCCGCGCTCGAGGACTACTGGCACCGAAACTTCCTGGATAACCTCGGGGCGGCCGACCGCGCGGACATTTTGTCCGAGCTGCTCCCGGGCGCGTCGGGCTTCCTGTAAGTGGCGCCCAACGAGAAGCTGGGGCTGCTCTCCGAGCCGGAGCACTTCCTCACCGAACCCAAGAGGCGGCTTCTGCTGCAAGTCTACGACGCGGACCACTTCTGCCCCTGCTGCGACGAGCCGTGCGACCGGCACGGGCGACACGCTGGCTTGTGCGCGGGCGCGGGGGATCGGGCTTGCCGGCGCGTTAACGTTGCGCGCACATTGGTCGGGCGATTCGCCGGTGCAGCTGGCTGCAACCCGGAGCTGGAGAGGCCAGGGCTCCTGCCGCCACGCCCGGACGACGACCGCGCCATCGGGTGCCGCCCCGCTGACGTGCACATCCCGAGCTGTCACCTAGGCACGCCTGCCGCTTTCGATTTTGCGGTTTGGATTTCCCAGGTGTTGGGAGCGCCGCCGGGGCGTACGAGGTGGTCAAGCGCACCCACCTCGATACAGAGGCTCTCTGCAGACAACAAGGGTTGCTCTTCATCCCCTTGGTCGCAGAGCCAACGGGCGGTTGGGGCCCGACGGGGGCCGAGACGCCCCGTGTCCTGGCGAGGGCCAGCGACGCGCGCATGGGCGAGGAGCCAGGCACTGGGGCGACGCGCCTCTTCCATCGTGCAGCTGTCGGTGGCCATCCTGAGGGCCTCCGCCCGCGCCATTCTCCGACGGCAGGTGGAGGGGGGCCCTGCTTCGGGAGCAGTCGCAGCGGCCAGGGATGTCCTGGCTGAGGAGGATGAGGGCTTAGCGTAGGCCGCTCCGTTTCCTCCTTCCCCCTCCCCCATCCTGGCCAGGCTGCTCAGCGGAGCCAGCAATTTTCGTCTGGCGCTGTGGTGTGTTTCTCGGCCCGCCTTCTTTCCTGCCTTGGCCCCAGCCCCCTCTCGTGTCCCCGTTTCCTCTGCTTTTCCGCGTCTTCCCTTTGCCCTCGTGTTTCCTTGCTTTTGTGCGTTGTGTGTCTTCCCTCTCCTTTCTGCTTGGCTTTCCCTCCTCTCCGTCCGTCCGTCTGTCGGCCCGGTCTGCCCTTCCCCGTCGTCCTCCTTCCCTCTTCTCCTCGCCTTTTCGCTCCTCGGTTCCTCGCCCCTTTGCCCGTTTCTGCCCCTTGCCTGGCCCGCGTTTCTTTGTCGGCCCGTCCCGCTTTCCCTATTAGAGCCGCGGCGCCCCGCGCTGCAAAGCTGGCGAACAGCCCGGCGTGGACCGCAGCTGTGTTGCCAGGCTCTGATCGTTAAGACGATCGTGAGATCGCACGTGCGATCTATAGTGATATCGAGTGCGAGATCGATCGTGCAATTGATAAAGAGGTGGGCAGTGAGGTCGATGGGGTGAGGCCGATCGATAAGGAGATCGTCCAGGAGCTCAGGAACCGCTAACCCGGGAACCCTGCCTCCCAGCAGCCGGGAACACGGGAACCCAGGACCGGGAAACCGCGAACCTTGCCGCCCACCGAAATCGGCCGCCAATTTTCGCCAAATCGTTCAACATCCACTAGCACCATTTCAGCGCATTCGCTGATTGGGGAATGAAGCCGTTTCCGACGATAAACAATTCAAGTCGACGTTTATCTGACCAAACCTGAAGCAATGCAAAATTGTGTTCATGCTGGGATGCTTTGCGTGACACGCGTAGAGGCGTTCGCCAATGTATGTATACATGTGTATATATACCTATATACACATACATGTACACATATACATATATATATTGATAAATACGAGTATGTGGCTCCATCTTCATAAACATACTACACATGCCTTGCCTTGCCATGTATCGTCACCGCATCTATGGTGTCATCATGCGTTACGGTGTTCAATGGTACCGTTTGGTGTCACATGCAACATTCGAGCAGCGGTGCAAATACATAGTCGGTGTTGCCCATGAGCCTCTCGCCGAGGTGTGTCCCCTAGGGCCTTAGGGTTCCTCCTCCTACTCTTTCTCCGTCGCATCTGGTTCGCGGAGCACTCCGTTCAGGTGCTCTGATGCCGCCATCCGACGAAGCCAGGGCAAGCTTTTGGTCGGACTACGAACATGAGGCGGCGGTCCTTGGAGAGGGGTTACCGCCCGAGACCTCCTCCCGATTTTCTCAAAGCAGGGGCCCCTTACTCGAGATGTCCTTTATATGCAGGCCTGTGATGACAGCTAGTTGCAAGTTTTGGGCAGCCGCCGCGTATTACCAAATGAAGGGGGGACCCCACAGAGAGGGGCTCCCGCTCGAGACTTCCCCGCGGCTCGCTCACGCGAGGGTCCCGCGCGAGACTTTCTCCAGATTCAGGTCTGAAGGGACCAAACGTTACGAAGTTGACAGGTTTTTGGATGACCCGTTCGGATTGCCCAGATGAGGTGGGGACTTCTTAGGGAGGGGTTCCAGCTCGAGATTTCCTCGCGAGTCTGTTACACACGAGATGCCCGCCGGAAACTTCCTCCACATCCAGGCCTGAAGGGTCCAAACAGGCGACGGCATTTACAGGTTTGGGATGACCGCCTGGGATCACCAACGTGAGTTGGGGACCCCACAGGGAGGGGCTCTCGCTCGAGACTTCACCATGATGATGGTTATGCTGAAGATCCTGATTGTAAACATGATGATGCTGAGTATGAGTATGGAAATGTTGTAGTTGATGCTGGAGCTGGTGATCATGGTGATGGTGATTCAGATTGTGATGGTTTCAGTGGATGGTGATGAGTCTGACATGAGAAGATGACGAGAGGGGTTGGGAGGAGTAGGAGAAGGACTGCGCGGCGTGCCCAGAGCAATCAGGAACCCCAGGGGGGGTCCGAGAGGGGCCTGAGGACACTCCGCTCAGTGCCTATGGCACGGTGGCGGCTGGTCTTTTCTTAGCGATGGTGAATGATGTTCGCACGTGCGCTGGTCTGCGGCAGCTCGAGTTGGGGAGGGGTTCTTTGTTCGTGAGGTGCATTTGTACCCCCCCCCCCTCCCTCGAGACTGCATGGATTGTAAAGAGGAACCCAGGGAACTGCCCCAGCCGCCAGCCGCCAGGACGGCCCGTGACATCACCCGTGGTTGGGCGGCATGTGCACGTGACTAACTTAGTTGCACGGCCCACGGCGCGCGAACGCCCTCAGTCGTGCGTTTTGCTTCTGATGCTGGCAATTTCGTGTCTGTTAGGCGGGTTCGCGTCGTTACTGCTCTGTTTGAGAAGTCCCGCTCGGAGTGGTTTCCACTTCCTTGGCGACGGCAGGCAGGATAATCACAATCGGACTGATAAGAGTATGAGGACCGTTGGACAATTTATTGGTTGGCCGGTTCAGCTACTCATGAGAAAAATACTCGCCAGGACTGCGTGCTGGGCGAAGGAGGACCGCAGCTCGCATCTGGTCGCAATCAGCAAGCAGTTGAAGCAAAGGGTTGCAGTTCTGCTCGTCGCCAACCACTTGCCCCTCGTCATTGTCTTCCTCCCCATCGTCTCCTCCTCTGCATCCTGGTCCTCGAAATTCATCATCGCCGTGTCCCCTTCCAGGATACACAGTGTTCTCTCCCAGTCTGGCTTAGACCCGACCCAGTCCATGTCACGTGGCGGATGGAAGGAAAGGGGAATGGAGAGGGGGGCGGGGCGGACGTGGAAATCCGGGGGAGGGGAGCTTGGATGCAGCTGCTTCTGCGGTTGTTTCCGTGTAGGACTGCTCGCAGCTGCTCCGCGTGAAAGCGACGTTTGCGCTCCAACAAAATGTGAGGATGTGCATTTCCCCTCGCCCTAATCCCCCGCTTCCGCCTCGCTTCCGCTCTCTCAGGCCCGCTCTGCCCGCGACAGTTTTCTTTCAAACAGGGCCCTCGGCCTTGGAGTTGCGCCAGTTGTTCGAGCCGCGATCACAGCAAAACTATCCGTGGCGTTGCGCGCCCATCCACATTTCAGTGGTGGCGGGGAGCGTGCGAACCCCGGCAATCACTCTGCTGCTGTTCGTCGTGCTGCGCACGACGCACTCGATATACATCACGACGGCCGCGCCGACGTACCCAGAGTCGATGCCCAGCGGCGTCTGCCTGCTGCTGAGCCTGCTTGCGGTATATACAAACGCCCATTTCTACGCCAACCTCTCGGACGCCAGCGACGCCCAACCCGACGCTTACTACGCCTACCAGGACGTCAGCGACGCCCAACCCGACATTTTCTCCTACGGCTACTCTTACGCCTGCCCTCTGGACTGCAGCGAAGCCGCAAAGTCCGACGTCATGCCCCCAGAACTTCAGCGAAACCGCAACGTTCGTATTTATTGACTCCCACAACTGAGCGAACCTGCCAAGCTCGTTTTCCTAACCCGCCAGGACATCAACGAAACCGCCGAAATTCGAAATTCAGCGAAGCCCTTGCATTCGATCTCGCGTTCCATCTCAAGTTCGAGTATACGACCCATTCATGCGTCAAGATGACGGGAATATTGGCTACGCGCAGTCAGTCATCCCGGCGTGGATTCCATCATATTGGAGAGACTACAAACAGGAGGTACAGCTGTGGAAGCTCAGCGAGAACTTGGGCGTTGCCCAGAGCCTAGCATCGAAGCTCGTGCTCAAACTCACCGGGCTGGCGAGGAGCGCAGCCTTGAACATGACTGGGGCGCAGTTGCATCCACAACTTTGTGGCGATATCGACGATACGGACGAGAAGAAGCGCAACCATGATCAAGCTGGCGTCGATAATGTACTACAGCATGTGGAAGCGAGACCAGGCCAGCAGAAGCCTGCGCAGAAGGGCGATACACTCGAGTCATTCTTCGAGTCGATTCAGCACCATTGACGCCGAGGTGAACGCATGACGGACTGGCTCGTCTGCTTCGAGACTGGTGTTCAGCAGCTGCGCGAGAACGAGGTGGACTTCAACGCGTGGGGCGACGTGGCGAGCTAGTTTATTACTACGCAAGGCAGGGCTCACTGCTGAACGACGCGAACGAGTCGTGTGCAACCTGCCGGGCGAGCGCTGCGGGTGCCGGCGGATATGCGGGCTGCTAGTGCGGATGTTTCCAGAAATCCACGGCGTGGAACGCCGCGCGCCGCCGCCGAGGCCGCGGAACAGCCAGTCGCGACCGCAGGGAGGCCAGCGAGGCGGCAACTCCTCGAACCGAGGAGGTCGCTCCACCAAAGCCGTCGACGAGCCCGATATGGACGAGGGCCGCGACGAGCCGAGGGGGGCGACGAGAAAGAGATCGACGCCCAGGACATCGCCTGCCAGGGGCTCGAGGCGTTCAGCGCCGAGCTTGAGCCTTCCAACGCGGACATCTCCGAAATGTTCGACGGGGGCGACTCCCGCCAAGGTCGAGGCAGCCGCGGCGGAGCTGGTCGCGATCCCCGAGGCCCTGGCCACCTTCAGGTCGGCCCGGGAGACCATGGGGGGCCGCGGCAAGGCAGGCGACGCGAACAAGGCGTCGCGCGACCCGGCGAAGGCGAAGCTTGAGAGCCGCGCCGACCAGCGCAAGACGGCTTCCTCGTGCTGGGATTGCGGAGAGACGGGGCGCTGCACAGGCGACAAGAAGTGCCCGACGCCAGGCGCTCGCAAGTTCGCGCCCCAGGACAAATCTCAGGGCGGGGGGCGAGGGGGCCGTGGAGGCCGCCCGCGTCGCCGGGCTCGCTTCGCCGAGCAGGTCCACTTCGCGGGCGAGCAGCCCGCGGACCCGCCGCCGGAGGCATGCGTCTCAGAGCAGCTGCCGAACGTCAATTTCTCGGCCATCGGTGAGAAAACCGGTGGGCAACGGCGTCGGCGTGGCGGGAACGGCCTGCCTTTTCTGCGTCTCGGGCATCTCCGCCTAGATGGGCCTCGCTGAGCATATCTCCGAGGGCCCGGGGCCGAGGTCTACAGGGTCGGCAACGGCGGCGCCCTCCTGAGCGAGCGAGCTGCACGCTGCCGCGCCACTGGAGCTTTGCAGCCAGGCTAGCCAGATCGCGGTCAGCGTCGTGGACAGACGTGCGCCCCGCTTCGTTTATCGGCCAGGACTTAATTCTTCTTTCCAAGATCGGCATTTTGGTGTGGGACGCGCCCAGAAGTCCGTTGCGAGCAGCGCGGGCCACCCCGCTATCATGCTGCAGCCCGAGGGCAAGCCATCGAGGATGCTGGGCCCGAGATCCCGACCGAGCCGATTGGGAGGTCCAAGGCGAACGACCCGCCGATTGTCAACAGCGCATCGACGATCAACGCGCCGGTCGAGCCCATCAACCAGCTCGTCAGCAGGAAGGAGCTGCACGTCCCCAGGCGTCTTCGGCCACGACAACCGAAGGGGTCGAGACTACTGCAGCTGCGACGCCCGCTTTGACGCTCTGCCCCACTTCGGCACTGGCCCCGCGCCTGAGGCTGACGACTTTGCCGCGCTCCCGACCCTCCCCGCGACGCGCGTCGCCGAGCCGCTGCAGGATTGCGTCGCCTGCGGTGAGGAGTCCCGCGAGGCATGCGGCGCGCCCGTGGGCGCGTTCGGCGCGCCCGTGGCCCTGGGCTGCGACGCTGATGGGACTGGCCAGAAGGAGATCAGCATCGTGGAGGAGAGGAAGCTACGAGGGAAGGGGCTTACAGAAGGAGGCGAAGCCGCTGCTCGTCGCAGGCAGGCGCTCGGCGTTCGCCACCAACGAGGGCGGCGTTCAGCCGCGCCAGGTCAGCCACGCCTTGGTCACAGATCTGGCCAATTCTACGAGGGCCAGCCCAGCCTCTACCATGCGCAGTACCGTATTTTTTGTTCGAATGGTGCTGTAACCCCGACGGCAAGCTAAGCGCCACCTGGATGAGGAAGGGGGGGGCTACCGCTAGGCGGGGCCAACTGGACCACGACTTACCTTGCCAGCGGCCAGAGCGCGTGTGTTCACGCAGCAGGCCCTTGCCAGCCGCGGACCGCATTGCGGCGTCTTGTCGTCAAAACTCCTAGGGGTGCCAGGCCAAGTCCGAGCAAATGATCGGCCTGTTCTTGCAGTCGATGTCTCGGCTGCGCAAGGAGTTCGGCGCCCAGCTCGCCGTCTCGCTCGAGCGGCCGAGGCGCTGCGACGGCCAGGGCCCCGACAAGAACGCGACCGCCGCGAGGCTGAAGGAGCAGATCCCTCGAGTCGTGGATTTCGACGGCTGCGTGGTCGATCGTAAGACGAACAAGGGGTGTCCATATCAAGTGTCCACATCATGAAGCCGTGGCGGGTCGTCACTGGCCATGCGGGCTCGACGATTCGCTGAGGAAGTTCCGCGACGGTCGCATCCTCGCGCAGAGGCCCGCGGCATTGACGCGAATAACAGCGATAACTGCGCGCGCAAGCTCGCGGAGGTGCGGGCCGAACAGCTGCAGCGACTCAACCGCCATCTCCCCCTGGAAGCGCATCGCGCGACAACAGGGAGGGCGATCCGCGGGGCGGTTCCAGCTGCTGCGGCTCCGCAGGAAACAGTGCTCACAGCAGCGGCGGAGCGGGCGTTCCGGCCCGCCGCGACGCAGTTCCGCGCGAACACGGGCACCCGGTCAACGACTCGCTGGCACGGGTTATCCGCGTCACTGGCGGATTGCAGAGAGTTGCCGGGATGGCGCTTAATCTCTACTGCGATGTCTGCGCTGCGCACCAGCGACCACTTCCACGCCGATCCGGGCGATTTCGATGGGATCGCGTTTTCCGCGGCTCCGTCGGGAATCAGTTGGTCCACTTGAGCGCGGCCGACCTGGCCTCAGGTATCATTTTGCGCGGCACTGTCCGCCCGTTGTTTTCGCTCGATTGGGGGCGCACCTTTCGGCGCGCCTCAGCGGGTGAATCCCGGTGGAGGAGGCGAGTTTCGAGCGGGGTTTCTCCATGGAGCTCGAGGGCGCGGGTCGCCGCCTAATGACTACGTCTGCGGCCGCGCCGCAGCAGAACGCCACCGTGGAACGACGCGGGGGTCAAGGGAGTGCGCGCGAGGAAGCTGATCGACCAGCTCAGCGTCTGGGTCGACCAGCCCGCGGTCGCCTACAAGACCCAGTGGCCGATTGCCCCCGCGTGCCGGGCCATGGGCAGCCAGGTCAATTCCAAGGGCTATTCGCCCTCGCAGTGGGTGCTTGGACGAGGCCTTCGCCCGCCGTGCTTCTTGCTGGACAGCGCCGGCAACCCCCACTTGCGTGAGGACATCGTGTCCGACGAGCCATTGTCGGAAAGGATCGCCATCGCGGGGGCCGCCCAGGCCTCCGCCCAGCAGTCGGGGTTCAACTGGTCCCTCTCAAGGGCGCCGTTGGCCCGATCTCGGGCCGATGGGGCTCAGCGCGCTGCTGGCGCGTGCCAGACAGGCGATCAGGTGCGCCACTGCAGGGGCAGCGGCAAGCCTGCGAGGGAATGGGCATTGCAGTGGCACGGGCCCTGCGCCATCATCGGCTTCGCGGGCGCC